TACCCGATCCGTTTCACTGGAGGTGCTGCTGGGGATTGGACCTAGGAGCCCATGAGCCACAGACCCAGACATCTGTTCAAGGCTGTTGGCTCAGCTTAGTGGCTTCTTCAGCTTTACGTGTAGCCATGACATGCATATGCCTCCTGAAGCAGACTTGCCTTCTCCTCTTCCGCTGAGCTTTCACCAGAGCTCTGGCTCCTGGGGTCACATGGCCAGGCTGCCTCTGCTTACAGACGTTTCTCTGTGTCCATCATAGCTAGGCCTGTAGCGGGCTCAACCATGGGTGGGTCTTCAGAGTAAGACCAACCACCATCAGGACACGTAAGTTTTCCCCATGGGGGAGCCGTGGCTACGTGGGTCAGGGCCAGGAAAATGGCGTGGGAGGAGAGCTCTGAAGCTCTTCCAGTCTGGATCAGGCCCGTGCTCACCCGGGAATTCAGCTTCTGTCTGAGGACTCCTGGCATCAGTGTGGGGAACCCGTGGGCTTTGGGCATCCAACCGACTTACGTTAGGCGTGGCAATGGCGGGAGAAGGCTCTTTTCCCAAGAAGGGGTGAGCATTATCCTTACATATCCCTGGTTTTACTTGTGTTGATTTCCCAGAGTTCTCTTCATGTCCCGCCCTTTCTCTTTCTCAGGGATGTCACATTTGCCCCTGAATGAAAGCACCTGGACAATGAACGGCAAGGTGGAGCAATTGCTAAGTAAGGCGAGAGGCTTGTCCGTGGAAGAGAGAGCTGACGGGGAGGAGCCGCCCTCTGCTCTGGACACTGAGGCGGTACCTTTGGTCTCACGGGAGCCTCCTTTCTGTGTAGGCCACGATGAGAAGACTTCCCAGCCAGAAGTCTCTGATTCCTTGCTGCTGTTTCTGAACCGGAAAGGGTATGAGGCCACCTTCCAAAGCCTGTATGACCTTTCGTTTTCCTTTCTCAAGACTCTGTTTTGTGGCTATGCCAGTGAGGAAGACCTGACCGATTACTTAGGCTTGGTGAGGGAAGCCGCAAAACGAGCCCGCCTGCTGTGGGCCTTGGCACGGCTGTGCTGTCTCTTGGGGAGGATGAGTGTCCGGAAGCTCAAGCTGTCTCAAGCACGAGTTTATTTTGAAGAAGCCTTGGCGACCTTACAAGGAGACTTTGGAGACCTCTGCCTTGTCACCACTCTCTATGCAAACCTGGCCGGGATCTACCTGAGGCAGAGGAACAGAGAGAAATGTGCCAGCCTCCTCGACAAGGCTGCCGCTTTGCTCATGGGGGTTCCCAACTACATCAGCAGCACGGCCATGGAGTCAGCGGTTCTGAAGCACGCTCTAAAGAGAGCCGTCCTCAGCCACAGCAGGCGTGCAGAAGCCAGAGCCTGCTCCCTGCTAGCAAAGCACTATTTGAACTTTAAGCAAGGGGAAGAAGCACTGCCCTTCCTGGAACGGCTGCAGCTTCTGAACGAAGAAGTGGGCTTCCAAGACAGCTCCTCGTTAGCAGACGGCTGTTTTCTGCTTGGCCAGCTCTATGGGCGGAAGTGTTTGCCTCACCTGGTGCTCAGCTGCGCCCAGAAGGCCTCCTCTTGCAGCTCAGGTACTTTGCCCGAGTCTTTCAGAAGCATCGGCCTCGTAGTTAAAAATGGCCCCCAGGCTGTGGGGCAGGCACCCCCCGCCCAGATTGCTCCTTATCTCAGGCAGATGCTCCCCTTGCTGGACAGCAGCAGCAGCGCGCATGGGAAACTGCACGGAGCTGTCTGCGGCACCCTTTCTGTGCTCTGCAGCCGTCACAAGCAGTACAGGAAAGCCATTGATTACATGGAGCAGGGCCTGGATAGAAATGTGCAGGCAGGCACCAAAGAAATCATTAACCACTTGGCTTTTCTCAGTTGGCTGTACATTCTCAACAGGCAAAACATGGTTGCTGTGGATATTTTGAATGCCATAATTGAGTCTTCCCAGAGCAGCCATCAGCAGTTGGGTGTTGCACATAACATGCTGGCCATTGCCTTGGAACGGCTGCATGACACCAAGCGAGCGGCGGAAAGCTACTATAAAGCCCTGCGCATTTCACAGGAGACCGGCATGATGCAGAATCAGGCAGTCGCTTTGGCCAACTTGGGGGTCCTTTGTTGGCATTCCTCGGCCAGAAGTCTTGGGGAACGCTTCTTGTTGAGAGCAGTCAAGGTGTTCTCTGGACTGCCCAGTGTCGACTGGGGCATAGATTTTATAGAAATCCTCCTCCGGCTGGGGGGCTGCTATGCCAATGGTGCGTGTAAAGAAGCAGCCAGGTGTTGTTACGAATGGGCATTCTTGGTGGCCCTGGAAACAGACCATTTGGAAGGTGAGTCTATTCCCAGTCTTCCCAACCTAGATTTGGATATATTTCTTTTCCTTTGAGGGCCTTCTGACTCCTGAGAGGAGGAGCCACTCCCTGCACTCAGAAATGTCAGGAAAGTGACTCGGCAGTGTTCTTCATTCTCTGTCTCAAAACTGTTAAGCCATAAGTCCCCTTGAAGTTTTCCTAGTAAGTTTTCTCAGTTGTTACCGCTTCAGTACTCCTCCATCACATAATGGAGAGCACCACCCATTTGCTTGAATTGGTCATTGCGCA